CTGTGCTTGGTTTTGCAAGGTCAATCCTCTCTTTTGAGCTTTTCTTTCCTATAGCAAGAACAATCTTGGATGTTAAACGATACACTACTCAACTGGCTTCGAAATCGCGGTTGTTTACAACGGTTGGAATTAAAGTATGGTTATTTGCAGGGTTGTCTAAACTCGCTATTACTTATTATTGAGCCACCCGGATTGGATTCCTTTACACACCCTCATTATTTATTCTGTAGAGCCCTTTTTACTTTGAAGTTTCCTCGTAGTAAGTTGCTTACCCTTCTCTAATCCGACGTTCCCTCAGCTCTCGGCTGGCATCTATTCACCGACGTTACTTCCGCTTCCTTGGTTGGTACTTTATTTACCGACGTTGGGCTCGATTAGATTCATCCTGGGGCTTGGCGCTCACACAACTTTCGTTTGCCTGTGCTTGCCCCTGCATTATTCTTTCCCTTGATTCCAACTATATCTTAACTTTCATCATTTCAGTAATTACTTTAATTTTAATATTATACTTATTTTTAACAATACGATTCCTTTAAATGTTTTATCCAAATTTGTTCCTGACTACTTACAATTTGCTTCGTTTTATTACTTTTGATTGATCCTTGCCGCAATACCTACTATACAGTTTGTTTCTTTATGTGCCTTAAATTAGTATTTTACCTTTTCATTTACTCAGACCTTTAGGTCATTTACAGCTAGTATTTCTGTTTACCTTTCAACTTTCCACAGGGGTTGTTAATTATTTTAGTATTCTCCTTCAATTCAAGTGTGGCATTTGCGCTTTTTGTTACATTCACTTCTGCCCTTAAGTTGTCAAACCCTTCATTATACATATATATATATTTTAACATTCAAATTTGCTCCCTCTTTAACATCTTACATTAGTTACAATACTTTGGGTATACAATATTTTTACATTATTATCTGTACAAATTTGTTTTAAGCCTCTAACTAGGTTGAATGCCTCATTATACTGATCATAGGCAGATTAGTTGGCTAGGTACTTGCTCGGTTAACCAGTCTACTGAAGCATACCATAGTTTGCATCATTCTTAGTTAAATTGTTATGGCCACTGGTCACTTCGTTTATCACCTCTAGTTCAATGGCCATTTTAGCCTTGTAACCGTTTGTACTTTGTGAAATATCATATAATGGGTTACAAAAACAATTGTGTCACTATACACATGCTCTGAAAAACTTAGCTTTGTTTGTATGCCTACTAATTAGTTGTTTAAGTTACTAGATCTACCGGTTGGCATTAAAATCTGCCTTGTGAAATTTACAGTAGTTTAGTGGTAATAAATGTGTTTACTAAAACTAGTAGTCTTTTCTCTTCTTTCTTCCATTTCACTACCACTGACACTGTTCACTTTTACATTTCTTAAATTCTTTTTCTTCAATATGCACTCTTAAAGTCGTTTTTCTTCTAATCACTGCCTAGTTATTCAAATCACTTTTAACGGGAACTACATTTCCTGCTCTAATCTCACATAGGGTTTCATATGGCTAATATGGAACAGCCCCTTCCCCTTTCCTGATACACTGCCTAGTTCATACAGGTGTTCGTTGATTATCTTTGTGATAAGGAATGGGCCCTCATATGACCTCTGAAATTTGCCTATAATCCCTTTACTGGCTTGTGATACAGGTTGGGCTTTCACTAATACCTGATCTCCTACTTGGGGTAGCCATGAGAAATTTCCCTTTCTTTTCTTACTCCTTCTTTTTTCTGCTTTAGCTTTCATTCGTGCATAGGCCTTTAAAATTTTCGTAGAAAGTTCTTCCGTTGGGGGTTGGTCTGGTAGTTTTTGGTAAATTTCTTGAAAAATGCCCTTTTCCACTCTTCCCCCTAGTAGCTCCATTGGTGAATAGCCGGTCACTTGACTAATAGGTTGGTTCAACCAATTTTGGATGTGAGGTACTAATTCCGGCCACTGCTTGTGAGTTTGGTAGCAATAAATCTTGAAAAATTTTCCCAATTCCTTCATAACTCTTTCCACAGGATTGCTTTCCGGATGTCTTATGGGCGAATATCTCACGATGATCCCCAAATTCTTCAAGGTGTTTATCCAAATGGGACTAGTAAACTGGGATCCGTGGTCAGACAATATTATTTTGGGCTGTATTACCTTTACTAAATAATGTTCGGTTATCTTCTTTAAACATCCTTTAGTGGTCGCTGCCCTTAATGGGTAAAGCGTTACAAACTTAGTAAATACTTCCAAACATACTAGTAGGTATTTCACATTTCCTCTTCCAGTGGGTAAAGGTCCAAACAGATCCACAGAGGTTAACTCTCTGGGTTGGTTAGGTAAATGTGCTAAAGAATCTACTTTTACCGCTCGGTTTGGATGTTTCACTTTCTGACAATCTTCACAACTAGCAATATATTTTCGAAGCTTCCTTCCAAGATTTCTAAACCAAAACATGGTTATTATTTGGTAGTAACATTTATCAGTGCCTTGGTGGCCTAACAATTCGTGGATGTATCTAATGATGGGCGTTTCCAAACTCTGTGGCAACATTATTCTCCAATATAAGTAGTTTTTACTGTCTTGATGGCACAAAATCCCTTGTTGCATAGAATAAATTTCTTGATATTTTGCTGGGTCCGCTTTTAATTGCTCCATTATTTTTAGTAGTGTAGGGTCGGCCTGTTGTAGTTTTGGTAACTCTCTAAGCTGTTTTAATACTCCCTTGTTGATGCCCAAGTTAATCTTGGCAACTTGAATATCTCGCTTTTTCTTGTGGAATTGTTTTAATTCGGGGGTTAGGCCTATAGGGTTTCTGCTCAAAATATCTGCGAAAAAGTTTTTGGCTCCACTCAAGTACTGGATTTGCAAATCGTATTCTTGTAACTGCATCACCCACCTAGTGACCCTATCTGAGGTGAGAGTACATTTCTTTGAAAATGACAAAGCTTTATTGTCAGTGTAAATGGTCACAGGATGACACACAATGTAGATTCTGAATTTGTTCATGGCATAGACTGTGGCGAGCAATTCTTGTTCACAGACCGAATATCTTCTTTCAATTTCGGTTAGCACACGGGAAGCTGTAGAAATAACCAAAGTTTCACCAGATTCTTGCTTCTGACTCAAAATAGCACTGATGCCCACTTTGCTAGCATCGGTGTGAATTTCGTAGGGTAAATCTTCCCTAGGGTGGGCTAATAGTAGACTATGGGAAAAGCTGTTCCTCAACTCTTGAAAAGCTGTCTCTTTATCTGTGGTCCATGCCCATTTATTTCCTTTCTTCAATAAAGTTAGTAAAGGGGCTACATAGTCTGAATACTTTACAATAAACCGATTGTGAAAATTGCATGTTCCCAAAAACTGCCGCAACTGCTTTTGATTCCTCGGGGCCGGATAGTTTAGTATGGCTTGGATTCTAGATGAATCTGCGGCTACGCCTGCTTGACTAATGGAATGTCCCAAAAATTTTACTTCAGTAATACAAAATTTGCATTTTGTTGCATTAAGGGTAAAGCCGGCCTCAGTCAACTTTTTAATAACGGTGTTCAGGTGATCCAGATGTTCCTCGAAAGTTTTAGAATACACTAAAATATCATCAACATATGTTAGTACAAAACTTTCCGTACCGTTTCCCAAAGCTAGTCTTAAAGCTCTCATAAAGGCAGGTAGGGAATTTTTAAACCCATAAGGCACTCGTTTGTATTGATAGACTACAGAATCGTAAAGAAAAGCGGTGTATTTCCTGGAGTCTTCGTGTAATTCCACTTGCAAATACGCTGAACTTAAATCCAACGATGACATAAATTTAGCGCCTTCAAATCTTTGTAGCAATTCTTGAAGTGGTGGTGCCCTTTCACAGTCTGGGGTTGTATGCTGATTCGCTTTTCGGGCGTCTACGCAAATTCGCGGACTCTTTCCTTCCCTTGGTACTACCGTCAGTGGACTTAAAACGTCGGAGTTACTCAATTCTAGTATGTCATCCTTAATCATGTTTTGTATTTGTAGCTTGACCGCTGGTCTGAATGCAAAAGGTACAGGTCTGGAAAAAGAGCGCAGGGGTTGGTCCGTCTTGACTTGAAAGTGATATTTGAATAAGTGGCACTTGCCCGGTCTCTCAGTAAAATTTGGTAGGAACTGAATAAGTATTTTGAATAATTGTGACTTTTGTGGTGCACTAATAGTCGTGCTTTGTTCTATTATGCGTCTTAAGTCGCCTTCCTTGAGATCTCGGGGATCGAACTGGTCCTGCTTTTGCTGCTCCGGGCCCCTTAATGGCCCCTCGGAATGCAGTGTGACATCATCTCTTCCTACTGCAGTACGGCCGTGTATCTTATCAGGGTGAGGGTATGAGGTTTGAACAATATCTCTTGTGTATGCGGCGGAGTTCTGCTCGCCTGAGTGTCTTCCTTTAACGCACAGTGCCGAAGCGAATTTGGTTGTTACATCTTGGGCTTCTATTTGTAGGTCGGTTTCCGGGTTCTCGAACCGATGGCTTCTGGTTTGTCCTTGCCGCTTGTATTCTAGTATGCCTGAACCAAAATTTAGTTGCATCTCATGTTCCTTCATGAAATTGCATCCCAGGATGACGTCACTATTAAGTTGCGGTGCTACCAAGAAGACTGCTTCGAATAACTCTTCACGCTCTTCACCAATAGTGAATTCGAGTAGAGCTTGCAGCTTGATCCTTTTTGACCTTTTCCCAAATGCTGTTACTAAGTTAATTCCCTGAACGGGAAGTGTCAATATTTCAATGTCTGCTTCTTTTAACTGTTCAAAACTTTCTTGAGAAATCAAATTTACTTCACTACCGGAGTCCAATATGGCTACAACTGCTTTTTTATTCTTAAGTTTGATAGCAATCTGAGGACTTTTACTGAAATTTTCTTCGTTGATAAATAACACTATGGGGTCTGAAGTTTCTTTTTCTGGGATGATTTCCATGGAAGAGGTGGATTGATTTAACAGGCCTGAGCTCAAAGTTTTATTGAGGATGGAAGCGATGCGGCCTTCAACGCTCCCTAGACTTAGTTTTCCTCAGCGTTATGGGGGGGCTTTCCCCGTGCGTCATCCTCCCTCTCATTTCCTGGGTTTCTCTCGCGATTTTCGAAATTTCTGTGGTCCCTGGGGTATTCATTTCTCCTACAGTTGCCCCTACCACTAGAATTTCGCCATCCTCCTTGGTAACTTTGGTCATTTTGTCTCACTTGTCTGACTGGTCCTGGGCCTTCTTGCCTATAATTTCTACCTCTGTTGGCTTGGAAGGGGGGTTGGTATTGACCTGACCTTGGAGGGACGTCCGAAACGTCTTCTCTTTCTTCCATTAGTTCTAGTCGCTTTAGCACTTCCAAAAACTCGGCGACTGTATTTAATTTAGTACTAAGCAGCAGCTCCTTTTTTTTCAACGGGTAGTGACTGTGAATAGCTTCTATAATTTCTTGGTCCGTGAGTCTAGGCTCTAGGTACGAGGCCATGGTAGCAAATTTAAGTAAATGTGCTGACAGGGTCAGTCCTCCTCCCTTTTCATATCTACTCTGATACAACTTGCACTTAACGAGCCCTTGTTGAGCTGGGGACCACCAAGTGCCCAAAAATTCTGATTTAAATTGCTCATAACTGGCTAATTTGGAACTAGTGGCTTCTAACCATTGCTTAGACACTGAACCTGTTATGGATCTCTTTGCTACTATCAACCAATGTTGCGGCGGGATTCCTCGAAATTGCAAAAACTCTTCAAGCTGCCCAATATGTAACTGGGGGTTCATACCTTTGCTTTCGTCGAAGGTTGGTAGGGCGTACTCGGTGCTGCCTAGCTTGCCGGAGAATGCAGAAGCGGCCAAACTTCCGGGCTGAATTTCTAGTCCTGGACTGTTGCTTCCTTCTTGTCGTGAAGTACCTGGAATTTCTACACCCTTACTTACAGAGTGTTCTACCCTTGGGGACGTGGCCTTGGACTGTTGTTCCACCTTTTGTTTTAAATTTACTATTTCTTTTTCCAATTGTTTCAATTCATGTTGTACCTTCAATTGGTCACTTTCTACCCTTTGCTCAATTTGCTTACGCTCCTCCCCTAGTCGCCTCGAAAAAGCATCGGCGCTTTCATCAAATTTTTGTTGGACACCTGTATTGGATTTTAACAACTCATGATTTATTTCTTCAACCTTGTTCACCCTTTCTTGAAGTGTGCCCACATTTTCTTCTATCACAATGATGGTATTATTTATTTCAGCATTACCGATATCTACTCTTTCTCGGATCTCTCTAACTTTCTGTTTTACCTTTGACATTTCTGATTCCTGATAATCAGCCAGTTGTTGGATTTTGGAATTCCGGTCCTCTCTTTCTTTTCCGAATTCCTGTTTCACTCCTACTAATTCTCTTTCTAAAGTATTTTCACACTGCTTAACTTCCTTTCCGACTCTACCAATTTCCTTTCTGACCTTTTCGACCTCCTTCTCCAATTTCCCCGATATTTCTTGTCTTAAGGCCTCGTTGGCCTGACTGCACTTTAATATGGCCTGATCTATGCCCTTCTGTAATTCGTTCTTTAACAGTCTCTGACCCTCCTTCAATTCCTCAGCCAGATTTGCCTGTCCCAATTTTATTTCTGCGAATTGCCGTTGAACTAGTTGATTTGTATTTTCTTGAGCCCGTTTTTGTGTTTCCTGAGCCTGATCTGATTTTGATATTAGCTGCTGTATCATGGCCATCATGCTTTTCATTTGGGAATTTTGGTCGTCACTATCGCTAGTGCCCTCTTTCTCCGGACTGTTTGCAGGTGGATCAGGGTTTTCCATTGCTAGGACATTCGGACTAAACCGTATCTCTCTTTCTTCCTCCACTAACTCTATTTCCCCCCTTTCTGCTTCCCACTCTTCTAAATCTGGGGATTTTTCCCGGGAGCCTAAATCCATTTCCTCAGACATTGCTTCGACAGTTCTGCTTCTCAGCCTTTTCTGGGACATTTTTAATAAACTTGATTTGTACTACTTACAGTTGCAGTGATGTATTGTTTAAACTACTTGCACTTCACCAGTGATGTTTCTCCGCTATGTAGTCTGCGATGTCGCGGGTTGGTGTGCCCCTAGGTGTCACCTCCTTATGTAATCTTGCGCCACGCGTTGGGCAGCCAGCTGCAACTGTCCCTTCTCCGTAGTGTCCTTCCCGTCACCGCTGCTGTTGCTTCTTCTTCTTCTTTCGGTCACTCCCGTTTCCCCTTTTACCACTTTTGTTTTATCTCAGGGTAGGTTGGGCATCAGTGGGGTGGAGGAAACCTAGGAGTTCCTGGTAGGGCATGAGACCCTCTCAGGGTGTTGCACGGGTTACATTCGGGGTGACCCTATTTATTGAATGCCAGACTAACTCGAATGGTGGTTGCTTTTATTCATTCACTCTTACACTTGATTACACTTATAGGGGGTTGTTACACTGCTATAACCCAC